TAAATAAGAAATGTTTTAGAAATATTATTGAAAATAAGTACGATAAGATTATTACAGACATTTCATCTCACATACCACATACAATATGCAATTTCCATAAATTAAATAACGCAATTAGCCCGCAGTCGTTATATTCTAACCCGAATTATTTCACCAACTATTTGCAAATAAAAGAAAAGATCAAATTCTTGAATAATAAGAAATCGGCTGGTAACGACAAAATACCGAACATAGTTTTAAAAAAATTACCTCCTAACATAATAATCATTCTCACTATTCTATTCAACAACTTACTAAATTATGGACATTTTCCGCAAATCTGGAAAGAAGCAAAAGTGATACCCATTTATAAAAAGGATAAAGGACCGTCAGACCCAAATAATTATCGTCCAATCAGTCTCCTTCCTAATATCGGTAAAGTATTCGAGAGGCTAATAAACGATAGAATACTAAAAGTATGTACAAAATACAAATACATCAAATAATTCCTGAGAACCAGTACGGCTTCCGTAAGAAACATGCAACATCTCATGCTATAAATAGATTAGTATCTGATGCAAACTGGTCATTAAATGGAGGGAAATTTTTAGGAGCGTGTCTTGTAGATTTAGAAAAAGCGTTCGATACTGTATGGCTAAAGGGTTTGATAACTAAATTGCGAAAGAAAGGGTTCCCTCGTGAATTAATTAAAATAACACATAGCATGATATACGATAGAAGCTTTCAAGTATGTACAGAAAAGGCAACATCCACGCAAACTTTTAAAATTAAAAATGGACTTCAACAGGGCACAATCAATTCGCCCATTCTCTTTAACATATACACTAGCGATATTCTTACATTCTTCGGACCAGATAATACAGATTGCAATATGATAGCCTTTGCGAATGATTTGATAATTTATACTACAGAAAAATCTCCTAAAAAATTACAATCAATCCTACAGAAAGGAATTAATAAAATATTCGATTATTATAAAGCCTGGAAACTAAAAGTAAACGTAAACAAATGTGAATCAATACTCATTAGACCTTCTTGCAGTAAAGCATCGTCTACCATCTTATCTCAGTATAAGAATTTCTCGCTAAAAAATGGCGAGAATGCAACCTTACTTATTGAAAATAAGGATGCTGTAAGGTACTTAGGATTACTAATTGATAATCGCCTTCTTTTTAACAAAAATGTCTCGATGCAGCTCCAAAAAGCTAAGAAAACGTTTATAATGAATTCGAGGCTATTTTACTCGAATGTGTTAAATGCGAAAGTCAAACTCACATGTTATCAACTGGTAATAAGACCGATAATAACATACGCGTGTGAGATATGGTACAATATTGGGGCCTCTTTAATGGAGGAAATCCGTGTCTTTGAAAGAAGATGCTTACGAGCTTGTCTAAACATGTTCAGGACACCGGCAAGTAATTTTAAAAAATATTACAGTAACACAGTAATATATAACAAAGCCAACATAAACAGAATTGATAATTTTATAATAAAGATGACAAGAAACTACTTCACAACAACAGCCCAAATAAAAAACAATAATCTAATCTTTCCGATACCTCACGCAGATGTAAACTATATTAAAAATACGCTCTCTTCAGGATTTATACCGCCTGAAGCGTTTATGCTTCTAGATAGTATGGGCTATATTCAAAATCAACAGACCATACCAATCTTGTACCATGTCCTCCGACATAAAGCCAACAAATCCATTATCCTATGGCGCAATTTCGATGAGGACCAAACAGTTGTGAGTAACCTTAAATATAATACTGTGATACCTAATAAAGATCTCGTAGACTATATGGATATTAAAAAGAATACTAAAACATTTTGGTGGCTAAGACGTGACAGCTAACGAAGCATAGAAATAGTTATAAGAGGTAATAATGCGTGTTCGTTAGGAACATTCTATAATGTTCCAGAAACGTAGTAAAGTGCCAAAGAGACTGTAGATAATGTAAAGTACCAAATAATATATAACACAGAAGAGAAATGATGATTCACATTACTAGTCCATGTAGTGGATAAAATATATATACCAACAGAAGGTATACAAAGTATATGGGTATACATACAAGATTAATTACTAAGAAGGATGGCAATGCACCACTTGGACTACACAAACCAAGAGCCTCTTCATATATGAAGGTATATGTAAAAACCCACTTGCTGCTATGGTCGCATAGAGGATGTGTGCGCA